GCTCTGGGCTCATATTCTGATTAAGGCCGTGTTGACTCTGTACATCTCAGGTGCTTCCTTGAACCTGGTTCACTTATCATTCACAGCATCCCTGGGAGGCAGTGTCACCTCTCCTGTATGGCAGATGAGGAAACTGAGGCTCAGGGAGGGGATGTGACTCAGTCAAAGTGATATAGGATAGAAAGAGGGGGATCTGGGGTTTCTGTACCAAAATCATTCCTTTCTCTACGTCCGTGAAACTGAAATCGGACTCTAGGGGAAGGACTGGCATCTGGAGATTCTAAAGCACAGCAGAGCTGAAGCCTATATTTAAAACACCGCATCACTTTTGTCATTGATTGGGAAAGACAAATTTAGGAGAGTATTTTGAGTCACTGGGAGATAACAGGTGGGCATTTTTGCAGTGCTTGGGGCCTGTAGGACAACACAGGATGCTCCCCAGGAGTCCGGCAAGAGTGGAGTTGGAGTTGGTGTCTGAATGCACAGTCTTGGATCCTCCCGTTTCCTGGAGGCCTGGCTGAGCATGGCATGCTGTTCATTTCACCAGCAAAAGAGCACTGAGCTGATAGATGGTGGAGCAGCCCCGCAAACAAGCCCCAAATGAAAGAGGGCATCTTTAATCACTCTCATGGCATACGATGCTCAAACCAGAGCAAGTGAAAATGCCCCTAGCTCCCTCTCCCTGGTGGAATGGTCCTATCCAAGGACCAATGGATCAGTGCTGTGGTTGGGGTACTCTGTGCTGAAAAAGCCCCCCAAAAGAGGCTCCAGCAGTTTCTTGGACCCTGAGTCAGGGAAGGGAAGAGAGGGGCAACAGGAGTGGAAAAATACTGACTTAGTGGAGAGGAGAGAGCGTCTTCAAGCTTTTTCCACTTTTGATGTCTGTGCTCAAGACCTCAGATAAAGGGATCTAGGAGTGAGTTACCAAGGACTCAGCCCCTAAGAGCCAACTGCCCAGGGGCTGAGTCCTGAACAGCACAGCCCTGCCCCCCTACACTAGAATAGACCAGCTGAGAGCAGTCCCCATGACATTTGCCTTTGAATCGCTAATAATTGGGCCATTCACAAGTCACACTCGGGACTTTAACCAGGAGCCAGACTCTGCGGTGTTGACCTCTCTATCCAAGCCTCTACCTATGGGTTCCTAATACTTACATTGGCTTGAATGGAACTTTTGGACTCTTGAGCAAAAACATTTATAGACTTTTCTCCAAAAGTTTGCATTTCACTTCTCATGTCTGCCATTTCCATCTCCTTATGGCCACCAAGCTCCACGTCACCTATAGCTGTAGGTCTACTGTTCATGAGCTACCTGATGATCCATTGCCTGTAGCTGAGCCTCTGCTCCCAGCCTGGGGGACTCAAGTGACTGAGCACATCATGTAAGTTTCTTGGCTGCTTGCAATAGCCACGGTGCTTGGTAGTTTTCTATGTCTGCCACGAGGAAGACTCCAGAAATACTGGACAGGAAGAGCTGAGGGGAGATCCGAGGATGTCTGCCATGGAGAACATTATCTCCACATTACCTCAGGTGATTTTAATCTTCTCCAGCCCCAAACCTCCTTCCTCCCCACTATTCATCCACCCACCTCACTGCCTCTGGGAGCCCTAAATCCAGCAATTACCATGAGTACTTTAGCCCACTAATCCACCATCTTTTCACCATCTCTGCAACTCCCTTCTCCCATGTCACTTCTCAGCTGGCTGAAACAGAGTACAGCATTGTGTGTCAACCGTGGCACCAGTGCCTGTTACCAACGCCTCACCCTCCATCTTCTCTGAAGGCCACTGTTTCTTGGTCAGTTACCTAACTTCCAGGTTACCTCATGGCTCCTTCTCATTTACGCCACTCATCACCCTGACAGCCCTTGTTTCTTTGCCACCTGCTGCCAGTTCCTGGTCCAATGCCCCATTTTAGTGGTTTGTTATATGGTGGCTTTCCATCTCTGGTAATAACTTAATTGGGAAAGGCCAGCATGTGCTGTGTTAATAATACCCCCAATATCAGTGGCTTCATAGAAGAGTTTGTTGTCCTCGCGCTAGTGTCTTTATTATGTGGTAGGCAGTGAGGAGGAAGGGGCTTTGCTGATTTTAATCACTTAGGGATCCAGAGTGATGGCGGCCACTATCTTGAATGCTGCTGGCTGTCCTACCAGAGGGGAGAAGGGGATCTGGGGAAGGTCTTAAACTTAAGTATTAAGTGCTCGAGTCAAAAAGTGGCACACACCATTTGCAATCACGACTCTTACCCACTAGTTGGCCAGCACTAACCAGAGGAACCTATCCAATCACAAGGGAAACAGGCACGAACCTACCGATTGTGTGAAAAGTGGTATGTTGGAACATTCTGCTGCTCAGTAACGACCATTGGGTAAGACTTGGCCCTTCTGCACGTGGTAGGGCATAGATTAGGAAATTTGCTTGATTCCCATTCTCCAGGGTTCTTGCTTTTAACCGCTTCTCAAGAGTATGCAGATTTAAATGTTGTGTAACTTGTGAAGTGCTCAGAGAATGTGATCTTATTAAGACTTTATGACCCACACAACATTAGTTTTTCTAATTGTTCCATGCGTGTCTGATAATGCGTATTCTTTTGTTGCCAGAGGCAGAATTCAGTAGTCTGGGTGTTGTGGCACACATCTGTAATTCCAGCTACTTGGGGAGGCCGAGGCAAGATCACAAGATTGAGGCCAGCCTCAGCAATTTAGCAAGACCCTGTCTCAAAAACCTCTGGGGATGTGGCTCAGTAGTAGAGTGCTTGCCTAGCATGTGCAAGAACCGGGTTTGATCCCCAGTACCATAAAAATAAATAAATAAATAAAACCCTTGTATACATTCATTTCTGATGTAGGATAATATGATCTCATTTCAGAAAAAGGAAACGAGAGGAGACTGAATAGGACAGAAGTCAACGGACCTTTATTTTTGGAGTGATGGTTACATGTGTATTTACTAAACTTTAAAAATTTTGCAATCAAAATACAGTATATAAGCCATGCCTAAATTTTGATTTTTCTTTTCTGCAACAGATCTTGCTATGTTGCTGAGATTGGCCTTGAACTCATGATCCTTCTGCCTGTCTCTCAAGTAGCTGGGATTACAGGTGTGTGCCATGGCACAAGGCTCTATGGTTAATTATTAACATTTCAAAACAATAAAAAAAATAAGAATTTTTACAAATTCACAGAAATCTTTTTTTTTTTTTTTTTTTCAGTACTGAATAGTTGCCTTGAAAAACTGAAAAGGTGTTTTAGGAAAACTAAGAACACAAAGCATCAGAATATTTCATTCAAATTGTTAAAAAAAAAAAAAAAGACACCTAAAAAATAACTATTACATGTATTCACTTAACTTTCAAGCCCAGATGCTTGAATTTTTTATTGAGGTACCAGGGATAGAGCCCAGGGCCAGGAGCATTCCAGGCAAGGACTCTCCGACTGAGCTTCTTCATCTATAGCCCTTTTCAAGACAGGGTCTTACTAAGTTGCTGAGACTGACCTCAAACTGCAATCCTCCTGTATCAGCCTCACGAGTTGGTAGGATTACAGGTATACACTACCATGCCTTATCTCAATGGTATCATTTAAATGTATTTTTCCAGAGACCTAGGATAGTTGGCCTCAATATTTTTCCAAACAATGTTTCTTCCTAGTTTTGATTAATCTTTTTTATAGTTTCCAGAAACTCTGAAGGTGATGTTTGCAACCCTGAATGGGAATGAATAATTTACCTGAATGTAGTTACCTGCACTTTTAGGGTATATTGTGTGCGTGCGTGCGTGCGTGTATTTGATACCGGGGATTGAACTCAGGGGTGCTCAACCACTGAGCCACATTCCTAGCCTTGTTTTGTATTTTATTTAGACAGGGTCTCATTGAGTTGCTTTGCACCTCGCTAAAATTGCTGGTGCTGGCTTTAAACTCGTGATTCTCCTGTCTCAGCCTTATGAAGCCACTGGGATTATAGGCATGTGCCACTGCGCCCGGTGAAAAGTATATTTTTAACAGAAATAAGTCTCAGGGACATCAGATTTTCAAAGTTCAAGGAAAATCAAACTCTCCCAAACCAGAAACACAGCAATAGCTTACAAAAGAAAAAAATTATAAAACTTGTAGCACAGGAAATGATCAAGACTTTAGATGCAGAAATATTTATTTACACAATACACTCACAATTGAGGAATGACAATGACAACAGCTCCCTTTCAAAGTAATGTCTGTGATAGAATCCAAACTTTTCTTCCCACATTCAATGTCTATTTTGAAACACACTTAGGCATGTAGTGGCACACTTTTGCTCTTTAGTCGTTTACCTTCAACTGACTGCAGTACTTGATACTTGGAGTTAAATGACACCTCAAATCTAGTCATAGCATCCTCTCCCTTAGACAAGATCTCCAGGACCCTTTACCTGGGTTTGATCCCCAGGCACAAAAAGACCAAAATACACACACAAGAAACAAAACCAAACCCAACCCAACTTTTTTTTTTTGCTTCCTAATTTCTGCTTATACGAATTTAACAAAAAGGGTATGTATTTCACATGCCATGTTCCTAACCATTCTTGTATGCCTGGAGTCAAGAAAGCCCTTGAATTTGAAAACACAGTGGACAAACTTCCAACTTCACATATTAAGAAAAATTAGTCTTTCCTTTTTCACATTTGACAGGCAGTGACTGTTTAAAGCAATAGAGTTCTGGTTTAGAGGAAATGCCTTTCCCAAGCTCTGAGACCAAACTACGGCCATGTGTCGGGGCATCTCAGCAAGAGCCCATCCAAGACTTCGTGAGAACCACTCCTGCAGACCTTCACTTCTGCTATAGGACAATGTGGTCTCACTTCAAAACAAAAGCATTTACATCTTAAAAATATCTTAAAATTTCACAAAGGTATGACTCTCTGAGGGACTAAGCTTTATGCTTTCTAATGCCAGAAAAAGGTGTGACAAACTATATTGCTTCTACCTCTTGTGGGCAGACCAGAAAGACATGGACACTATAATTTGTTCAATAGGTGTTTATTTATTGAATGCTTCTCTGCACCAGGTACTGGACATACAGAGGTGAACAAGTCTTTACAAAGTCCTTGCTCTCAGTTTACATTCTAATATGGTTAATTTCAGTGAAAACCACCACCTTACATTTAATTACAGAGGAAATATGGGAGTACATATAATAAGACAAATAATAAAGAGATACATATAGTAAACAACTTAAGAGAATTTATTTGGAAAGTAGGACATAAAAGGTACAATTTAGAATTTAACAAAATTAGAAAAACTACAGAAAAGGGAGAAACATTTAAGTTGGTTTAATGGCTATTATCAAATAAATAAGCAAAATTCAATATTTCATGCAAAGAAGCATTAAGGAAGAGTATGGGAATGTTTACAGAACAGGCCACAACAAATATTTTTTAAATTTACATAAGAAACTGTACATAAATGGAAAAATAAGTTACATAATTTACAAGAAATGTTTTACAGGTTACAGCAGGTTATAACTTAGTTTATTATGCATAAAATTTGTAGCACATCATACATTTTTTACATCACAGATTCAATGTTAAAAGAATTTAGACATGAAAAAGCTTAGATCTGACAAGAATAATGCAAGAGACAGAATAAGGCAACTCAAGTTGAAATGGTATGCTTAAGTACAATTAATCCCCAAACTAAACATTTCCTAAACTGGAATATAAAAGCATCTGCTTTTAATTTTTGGTACCAGGGATTGAATCTGGGTCCTTTTGAATGCTATGCAAGTGCTCTACAACTGAGCTACATTTCCAGTCCCCAAAACGTCTTCTAGATAACAATGTGGTCATTAACTGAGCAGAATTAAGACAAATGCCGTTCAACTTCAGTTAAAATGTCAGAGTTCACTGTAGTTCAAATAAAAAAAGTAAATGCACACAATGTATAAAAATGATAAAGCCATCTTAATATTACTTACAGCCTAATGGCATTAATCATATTTGGAACAAGGAGATTAGAATATTGATGTTAGGTCTGTAAAGTTAGCTTTCCCTTCTAAATGTTGTAAACTATAAGGGGCCACTCAGGAAAAAAGTGGCAAACTTCAAAATGGCTTAATATCTGTGGTAACTACTGAGTTGCTAGGCTATCTAGACGAAATTCTGACATGATGTAAAGCTAAAATAACCTCAATCTATTTTACATTTCTTGGATATACCTTACAAATCATGTAAGAGCTAAAATGTTTCCTTTGAAAGCTACTGGAACTTTTTGTACTGCAACATATGAAAGATGCTTAGAAATAGCAAAAAGAAAAAAAAAAAAGGAAATATCCTAGAATTGAATTATTTGCATAAACAATTCAAAAATTTTATTTTTAACCTTACTTTGTTGAAATATACATTCCTCATTACTTCTTTTAAACACAAAATTAATGACAGTTGCTACTGTAAGATCTGTAAGAAAAAATAACCTTTGACTACAAAAGGAGCTAGAAAGTAAATCAAGATATCTTAAATCTTCTTATGAGAAAAAAGAAATCAACTTTTAGCTAAACATATCATTCAGAACTAACGGAAGTACCTGAAACTCCAGTGTCAGCTCACTGCCACTTTTATTCTAAACTAGCAAAGTAGGAATGTCACAATCATGTCTTATCTAGTCATTCTCAAGACAATTCTACAGACAAAGTATTTTAGGTCTTCAACATATTTGCTATAGAGAAGATTGTAATCCATTTCAACTTACTTGCCAACAATCAAACCTGATTTATAATTTTTGCTCTGAATTGTGTTGGACAAAAGTGATGAATCCAGAAGGGTTCATATTCATCCACATTTGTTCCCACTAAAGAAAACAACCAAAACCAAAATCCACCAACCAACTACAAAAAGCTCAAGAGGATCATTAAACAAATCTTCCCAATTATATCTAATATTTCAACATCTATGAGTTTAACGGCATGGAAGCCTCCTCCCAATTCAGTACTGGGGACTGAATCCAGGGTCTCATACATGCCAGGCATGTGTACTATGGGTCTATATCCTCTGTCCTATGAATATTAATGGTATGTTTTTCTTTTCATATAGTGAATAATAATGCCCATATAATTTTGAAGTGTATACACATACTTTAACATATATAAACCCTTCACATACTTTAAGGTAATATCTACCTAGCCATTATAGGCAGTTACATAACATTATGAGAGTATCATTTCATTGGTTTGGCGAGAATCCCAAACCTAATACCTGTCAACACGTACCAATAAAAATTATGTACCAATTACAAAAATATTATGTAAGCACTAAAAATTAACTCAAAAACATAATACCAAATATCTGAAAATATTGTTTTAGTCATCCCCAATACTGCCATGAAGGAAGCAAGTATCTTCTCAGGATCCTGATAATGAGGCATTTCCCATTGTCAACAACCCAATTCTCTAATTTGACAAATTGCAAGAGGTTAGACCAGTGACTAGAACAGTTTTTTGCAATCATAACAAATTTTGATTCCACATCCACTAAATACATAATGCAAATGCTGCAAGCAACAGGACCACTTTAAGAAGACAGCTGAACTTTTTAGAAGTAGAAATCATCCTAGCAGAAAAGCTTTTCACTTTTCACCTCCTCAGTATTTTGAATGGGCTATTAAAATACTTAAAAGAAAAAAATTATTTAGGCTCTTTACTGATTATTATTAGGCTCAGTAGAGTATTTAAGACAATTATTCTCTTAAATATTGAACACTGGCAGTTAATATAGACTAAGATTATCTGATGACAGAAAGTTGGCTAACTTCTTCAGTGACAGAATAAAACATGCCAGAATAAACAAACTTAGCTGGAAATAAGACACCACTGACATTTCATGGCAATCATGTTAAAAAGGTCAAAAAATATGATTACAAAAAGGCAATGTATTTCTAATATTTTGTTTACATACACCACAAGACAATAGTTAAACGCAAAATGATATACACTCATTTTCATTATCCCTTTACCAGGTTTTACAATGGCTTAAAAGTTTTCTACATTAAGTTCTCCGAAGCAATACACCAAAAAAGCATAAAATGCTCAACAGAATTAAGATCAATAACACTAAATATGAAAACATTTGTTTCTAACAGAGTGGTTGTAAAGGACATTTAGGAAATCCGGCCACCCAAGAATGCAACCTTATAAGTAATGGACTACTGGAAAAAGAGGAAAAGCTTCCCATGAACTGCCAGCATTCCACCCATGGGACTGGTCTTCCAGGAACTGGCACTTAAAATACAGCAATTACATATGTACTTTTCAAAGATAAAAATTTATAACTCAGGATTTTTTAGTCTCTTTAGCAAATAACTGGAACCTCTGGACAGGTCTTCAATAATCACGTGTATCATTGGCAAGGTCACTGACTTTACCCAAACAAGAGCCGACCTATTTTCCTATTTAAATTAGAAAGGCCGAGCAAAGAACTGCCAAGTTAATTTACCTGTGGCAAGTCTACTAATACTTTGTCTTTGGAGATGTCTAGGTATAAAACTGAAAGCCATTAATTCTAACTAGTTTCTAGAGAAAAGGAAATGCTTTCTGGGGGACTGGTAGAGGACAAAATTTCTAGACCTAGATCTGCTATTCTTTACCAAGGCCCAAAACAAACTGACAGTGTGCTCTGCATTTGAAAAAGTTATCAGCTTTTTGTTTTTTCGAGATAGGAAGTTGCTGAATTGCCTAGGCTAACCTTAACTCACAATCTTCCCCATCAGTTTTCAGAGTAACTGGGATTATAGGCACAAGCAACCGTACCTGGATCTAGAATTTTTAAAGATGAAATTTAAACTCAAAAAGTTATACCTTCTGTATGTAGCAGGTCAACCATGAAATAGTTTATTAAGTCACCTAATCATAAATTTTGCTTTATCAGTACCATTAGGAAAATCATACTAAACTGAGATAACAGGATATCAAATGTAAGATATTTCTGGGGTGGTCAGAAACAGCTCATCTTACACAATCTAGCCCAAACAAGTTATTTTTAATCCCTATCTATTTAAAAAAATTCTCCTCCTCAAACATTCTTAAAATGCCCACAAAGACATACGATAGTATTCAGTTTTAAGAGGTAGTTCTAGAAATGCACATCCATTACAGTGGCCACTACCCATGTGTGGCTACTAAACATTTGGAATGTGGTCAGTCTGAACTGAGCTTTGCTTAAGTGTAAAATACACACAGACTTTGAACACTGAAGATTAAAAAAGAAAACCCAATATATTTTTAATTGAGTACATGTTGAAATAACATACTGGATATACTGTTAAATAAAAACACAAAATTATTTTCATTTGCTTCTTACCTTTTAAAATCACTAGAAAATAAGGTTTAAGTCAGGCATGGTGTTATAATGCCTACAATCCCAGTGATTGGAGGCTGAAGTGGTAGGATTACAAGTTTGAGGCCAGCTTCAGCAACTTTTGTGCATTCCCCCTTATCAATCCAGTTATTCTATATTACATATGGAAAAAGCCAAAGATCAATAGTGGTGAGATGGTAGCTCACTTCACATGCATTTTAGCAGGTAATTTCAGTTTCAAAGGATAAAATGTTATGAATCATGGTCCTATACTAACCAAAGTACAGTGATCAAATTAACTTAAACATTATGACCATCCCATTTTTTCTTAAAGGCTGCACTAAACCTACAGGTATAAAATGTAGTAACTGTCATTTGGGAATATTGTTATCTGTACAAACACCCAAATTAGAAACATTTAAAATGAACTCAATGGCATTTCAGCTGAAACAGCCAGTCACGCCAAGGGAAACATTAAAGCAAGAAATGTGGTCAGAACATCTTTAGAATGGCTACTGAGCAATCTGAATTCAAAGCTCTGAAAAGTCAAAATTACAACAAGATCTTTCCCATGCCCACCCCACAAATACTATTATTATTCATATGTTTGTGTCTTTAGGTAAACTGAATTTTAAATGTTTGAGTACAAAATGTGAAAAGCACATGGAAAAATATCCTCATGAATTATCTCTTGACAGTCTACTGAACAACTCTGGGATCTGTAAAAACACATGGTAACACTCTGAAATTTAACATCTAAAGTCTTCTAAGTATATCCAGATTTGCTGGTAATGTACAGAGGTGAATCATCCCATCCCCCCAGGTCTTTCCACTTTCCAAACTGATAGCAACAGACTTTAACAACATCACTGAACTACTGAGCCACCAAAATGTTACTGCCAATGTAAAAGCTGATAATTTTTATAACATTTAAAAAAATGAATTCAAAATAGAGAATAAATTCCAGGCAAAATAATTTTAAAAATTTAAACTACAATTGCTTTTATTACCAAATGTAGGAAACACTGATTATTTTATAATTCTGCAATACTGCCTCAGACTCTCAACATTTGAAAACACCCATTTAGAATAAATATGATTCTGTTGTTGTTTGTAATAGAATAGAATCTTTAGCTTTCATTGTTCATATTGAATAAGCAATGTGTTAACTTTGGGCATGATAATTTAGTGGTAAAAACAGCACAGAACTATTGATTCACTCAAATCATATCCCATTTGAATAGTCAAAGGACTTCATCAGATTACAAAATAAGTAAACTTTCAATTTAAAGATACAAAAATTTCAACGTATTGATTAAATTAAAAATACAGAAAGTGTGATGTCACCAGACAGGTGCATTTTCCTAGATTCATTCTGAAATTCAGGGTAACATATAATAATAGTATTTTAGTTAAATAAATGGCATTTGAGGAAAGTTATACTTCTGGGCAAAGATCACATAGAACATGCTTTTTTTGAGGAGGATGTGTTAGAAAAACTACAATAATTAATATTGCCTTAACATTTCTAAAATTACATAAAATCATCATCTCTGATTGCCATTACAATAAATTTTCATACTGGGTATATTACTGTCTGCTCACTAGTAATCAAAATGCATAAAACGGATTCAAAACAAATATTCAAAATCAATTATTTTTCATAAGTGAAACATTTCTGAGACTTTAAGATTCGTGTCTTGGAGCATATAGTACTACAATGCTGGCTACATAAAATAAATAGAAAATCTTTCTGAGAGGAAGCTCAATAATCAGGCTATATTGCATTTAAAGAACACTGGCTATATACAGAAGGGAAAACACTTCGACAATACTTCATGTTACAGAGCTCTCTCTTTTAATATGGCATTCATGAGCTTTCCATTCTGACATTTTAAAAATTAACAGGAATAGTGAAACTCTTTTATCCTTTGGTTCCCAAGGACAAATAATGCAATTACAATGCCTCTGGTTTTAGTTCCTCTTGGATGACATTCATTAGCAGAGAAATTTCTGATGTTTCAGCTGAAGTTTGGCAGCCCAAGAAGTGCACCAACTGCTCCAAAGTATCCCTGTATGATTTTTAAAAAAAACTGTTTAAACACACAGTGCAGCTTTAAAATTACCATACAATGCTAACCACTTACTAAAAACCATATTTATGTATCATATATCTGTTCCATAAACTGCATTTCCAATTGCCATATTGTTATACAAGCTTCTTAGAGTGCATTTTCATATACATACACACACACACTTCTGAAATAAGTGTGGCTTTTAGACATTCAAGTTTCTAACACCATAAAGCAATTCTGCGCCCTTTCTACTCAATGAACAAAGTTCCCGTGGACCTGACACGACACATGGAATTGCACAAGAGTGTATCATATCATTCTGACCTGTACAGTGAGAGCACTGATGAGACATGGATGCTTATAAGCACATAATACTTTGAACCTATATTGTTAATTTATAATAATACAATATTTGTCTTTGATTACTATAAAAAGATAGAAGTTCACTGAACTCAAAATATGATGTGGACTGCTAACTGCTCAGATTACAGTGCTGGGGATCAAACCCAGGGCCTCTTGCATGCTAGGAAAGTGCTCTCCATTAAGCTATATCCTAGCCTGGAAACTGTTTATTTTTGTATTACACACACCTAACATTTGTTAATGGGGGATCAAGAAACAAACAATTTAACAAAACAAAACACCCACGAATTCTACAAGCAGGACTCCCATCCCTCAGTTAAAACTGAAGTAAAGGAGTCAGTCTTCTACTGCAGTAACAATTATAAATAGCAAGGTAAAAAGCAACATATCAAATTTACACCTCAAAGCACACTATGAAAGCACAAAACATTTTGCCATACCTCATGTTCTAGAAACAATGCTTTCAATTGACCTTTAGACCAATAATCCAGTGCATATGCCAAAAGTTTCATGGACAGAGTATTGACACGTAAAAAGTTTCCAACAAAGACAACTCTGTTTATTTTCTAAAAGAAAACAACAAACATAGTGACTTGTAAAAGAATTATTAAATAGATTTTATAACACAAAGGGTTTACAAAATTGTTATTTTAAAACTCTAAGAAAACTACCTTGAATTAATACCCAGTATATTCCTGCATAAAGCTCTATAATCCTCAATATTCAGTTAGTGTTGGACAGGTCATTATAAATTTGTCAAAACCCAAAGAATGTACAACACCTAATGTAAAGAATGGACTCAAGTGATGATGAAATGTTAATGCAAATTCATGGACTACAAGCAAACGCACCACTCTGTTGGGGGATGCTGATAGTGGGGGAGATGTAGAAGGGGGTAAGTGTGGGAGCTCTGTATTTTCCACACTGAGTTTTACTGAAAAGCTGCTCTAAGTCTACTCAAAACAACAACAACAAAAAATGACCTATTACTAAAAGTGGCCAACAAATAATTCAATACAAGTAATCTGGAGATCTCTTACTAATGAGATAAACTGAATCAAATGAAGGAAAAGTGGCTTGTTTTTTAACTGGTGCTGGGTATTGAACCCAGGCCCTGGAGTGTGCCAAGCCTGTGATCTGAGTTATGATGCAGCCCAAAGGGACAGTATTTTTAAAAGTATTTAAGGTCAACTGCAAACATGGCCAGTATGCTGCAAAGCATGTGCAACATGCACACCATCAATCCCATTCTCTGTTCCCAGACTGACCCATCAACTCATTCTGTTAAGATTCCATAATCGTTAATTTAGTTTTTTTAGGTGCCGCTATTGAGGAAACTTGTATTGGAATGTCCAGAATGTTCCTACTCATAAAGGTCCCAGACTATTGTCAGCCCTCAAAGTGAAATATTCCCCAAATCTCATTAACCACGCACTACACTGTAATTAGGACATTTAAAGTAAGAGTCTGAACTTTTTTTTCCCCCTGATGGCACTGGGGTTTAACTCAGGGGGTGATCTACCACTGAGCCACATTCCCACACCTTTTAAAGACAGTCTTGCAAGTTGATAAGGCTGGCCTCAAATTGTGATCCTTCTGCCTCAGTCTCCTTTGCTGCTGAGAGTACAAGCATGCACCACTGCACCTGACCAAGAGTCTGGATTTAAATTATTCAGAGAGTTTACACACTTGTTTTCTCTGCTAGAGCCTCTCTCCCCCAAATATCAGTATGCACGGCTAAATTTGCCTTAGGGTCAAAAAAGATTTTTTTTTTTTTGTTCTTAAAAAACTTTATATAATGATTACACTTTCTAGAAATCCTTCACTCAATTACTCAGCAACTTGTCCTTAGCCACTCTCTGCCCTACTGAATTCTTATCCTCTTTTTTTTAAAAAATAGCATTTATCACTCAATACACACTAAACAATTTACTGAATATGTCACTAAATGTAAGTTCCAAAGTCAGTCATCTTTGTTTGCTTCACAAATATAGCAAATTCCGAGTGCCTAGAACAATGCCTGGCACATGGTATTTTATAAGTATTTAATCAATTAATAAATAGGTGAATGAACAAATGAAGGGTTCCTTCAAGAAGAAGTTTCCAATCCATTTGAAGTACCTGACATTTGTAAAACTTAAATGGGCAAATATATGTTGTATGATGGTGGAATTACACTTATTCTCTTCCAAATAAAAACACCCCAGCCATGTGGCTGGCCTATCAGCATATCCTCATCACAGAGCGAGCAGTTCACATCACTCATTCCCACATGAAGAACAAGTCTTGGTGCCTTCATAGCCCTGTACAATGCTGCTTGATCCATATGCAACAAGGCAGCACTGTAAAGAAGCCGAGGGCAGCAAGAACGCATCCAAGGACTTCTCTAGGTGAATGCTACGTTAACAGCAGAAAAATGCTATCAATAATTAGCTACCTCAAAAGGTCCAAGGATTATTAGATTTTTTTTTCATCCTCAGGAGATTTAGGCTGTATATTTCTGAAAAGGTTTTTGGGTAAATATAAAACGTAATTTGTTTACTTGTTCTACTTCAATTTGAATTATCTGTCAACTGTCTTTCAAGTTAATAAAACAATCGGGCAAATAACATTATTTAATTTAGAGTTTAGGGATTTAATACATATCTCAATTCTAGAGGCCTTGTGAAGGAAAACAAAGGAAGATCTGTTAGATGCACAAAAAACTCAAATTTATGTTTTTCATAAACTTAAAATTTCTTCTTTTTTACCTCATTAACAGCACACATTCGTGCCACAGAGCCAATATTATTGGTGATAGTAACTAAAGTAGCTCTTGCCAGATCTTCTTTACTAACAGATTCTCGCTTCTCCTTATAAATCATATTTCCAAAACTGCAGAGAAATGAAAAACAAGGTTAAATCCACTGCCAACAAGCAACATTAGTATATGTATCTATAATCTCCATAATTTTGTAACATTAGAACCTAATGAGTAAAAATACATAGAGATAAGATAAAAACTAACAGGGGATGGGATAAGATAAAAACTAACAAAAATCTACATAAGGAGGTTAGGGGTGTAGCTCAGTAGTAAATACTATACTACTAGCATAGCCTGTGTGAGGCCCTAAATCCAACCCCCAGTATGCTCCTAACCCCCAAATCCCCAACTCCACAAAAAAACCCAAACAAACACCCACCCACCCAAACAAACCAAAGTAGTATCTTTTAAGGTTAAAATTAAGTCTAAAAAAAGAAAAAACAAACAAAAACACAGTTGTTACAAAGAAGCAAAGATTACCAAATCATTTGCATTTAAACTTAATGCGTAACAGTGAAATTAAATGGCTATTGTTTTAGGAAGCCAATAAAAAATAGGAAAGTACATTCTGACTTACTTTTAAAAATTCAAAGTGTTTTCAAAAATATCTCAGCTTTAATGTCAAATTCCATTTCATTTAATCACAATAAGCATTTATGACATACCAAGCATTGTGCTAGGGACACAAAGGAAGTAGTCTGGTTCTAGTGCAAGCAACATCCAATAAAATAAAATACGAGCCATATGTAACTTCATATTTTCTATTAGCGATATTTAAAAAGGTAAAAACAAACAGGTGAAATTAATCTTGATGGTATATTTTATTTAAGTCAATATACCCAAATATATAGTCATTTCACCATGAGGCACTCACTAACCGCACTCCAAGGTTTGATATACGTGAAGTTAGAGGTTATCTTATGGACAATGCAGGCCTAGACAGAGGACAAGAGAGCAACAGAAGCACTAACTTTAATAGGAAAAATACAAATATGCAAAACCAAACCACAGGCTACCTTGGGAACACAAAGGAAAAAAGATCCTATATCACTGTGGTAAGAAGAAAGAGTTGAGAAGGCATGAGGGAAGATTTTCCATTGTAAAAGGAACAGTAAATTAACCAGAAAAAAAGGAGAAGGAAAATCCTAGGCAGAGGCAATTAAAGGTTACAGGCACACAGAAATGAGATCTGAAAAACATCTATGAAATCAAAAGTGATGGGCACTTGTGCAAGGTAATAGAAGCCACTAAGGACTACCACTAAAGGGCACTGGATGCCCTGACAAAAAACTTGGAGTGTATAAGCAATAACCAGTTAAAAAATATAATGAGAAATGAGAATGGCAGATGAGAAAACAAAAATTATTTAGGAATAAATTTAAAATGCAACTTATATACATAAATAAGACTTTTCCCAAACTTAATAATATATAAGCTGTAATGAAATTCCAGAAAAATAAAAAAATAAGCTTTCTTATTTTTTTTCTAAAGAGAATGATTATAAAGTTCATATGGAAAATTAAATAAGGAATGCGGACGACCAGCCATTCTGGATATTAAAGCCATTTTTATGTTTCTATGAATCTAAGAGTATAGTGCTGGTTTAATGGGGAAAAAAAGCCAGTATATGATATTCTGACATTAACAGAATAAATAGAAGGACTATTAGGTGTCAGGGCCTTCTAAAAAAAGCAAAATGGATCTGTACTGCATGTAAAACTATAAATTATAAGTAAAAATTTATATTAATTAAAAAATCAAAATATAAAAATAATACCACTAAGGTACCAGAAGAAAACAAGGGTTTATTCCTTTATATATTTGGAATGTGGAAGACTTACTTACTATGAATCAATATCCAGAAGCCATGAAAGAAAAGACTGATAAATTCAACTGTGTAACAATCCAACAGAAAAACAGAACAAGAACAATCACAGAAAAGAACATGTAAGATTCTTAACCTCACTTACTCTAAGAGAAATGCAAAGTAAAAATTTTTCTAAGGTGCCAATTCTCTTACTAGATTAGCAAAAATTCAGAAGTTTGACAACAGACTACTGAGGAATCTACAAGGAAAATGAATAGGCACTATGATCTCTTGTGGGTCAGAGTGAAACAGTACTGCTTCTGTGGAGGGCACTCTGCAGACTGCAAAAAAGCATCTGCATTCCTACTTTTAGGAACTTATCTTACAGATAAGTCTACATGTATACAACATGACAATATGATATGGGGAGTTTTCTAGGACCTCTGGCTACTTTAGAGTTTATGCAGCAAGCCATAATAGTGCAACCTTTTGAATAAGAAAAGGATGATGAGGATATATATTTGTATTTGCACAGAGCAATACTGGAAGGATTCTTCAGAATAAACACAAGTGATTTCTTACTAGGTGCACTCAGGGTAAAGTTCTTAATGTACGTTTAATTCTTAAACTACATCAATGTTCAAAGTTTGGAACCTAAACAAGGTAAGAAAAAGCACCCTTACAACTCCCTTAAACTACTGCTTTCCAAAAGCTAAATAAGCAACTTGAAGAACATAAGCATTAAACTTACCTAGACGCGACAGTCCAACCTGGTAGACCAAATCTTTCATAATCTCCTCCATAAATATCACGGACCAGTTTGTCAGCTTGGGTGCTGTCGCCTTTGGATGCCATTTCAAGGGCCTCTTCAAAACTTTCACAGCCAGTCAATAAACTGCATAAACCCAGAAAGGTACCCCCTCCAAGGCTAGAGAGAATAAAGAAAATTTGCTAAGTTGCATTTATATACTGTTTCTTTCTCCAAAGTGAAAGAGTACAGTATTCATTTACTGAAGTACTGAAATATCAACATAATGAATAAAAGCAAGAAAAACTGATAAATCAAACTTGTCAAATCAAAAAACAAACCAAAGAGGGAAAAATCTCTTGCCATTCAATACTTTGTAGTTGCCAAAAATATATTTTTATGTGTGCACTGAAAGATAAATGGTAAAAAAAAAAAAAGTACTATATGAATTAAAAGAGAAAAACTGGTTTTAAATTGTTTCCAAGAAATGATTTTGTGGAAGGCAAATTTACTTACCAGATAGGGTTGAAATCAATACAAAGGCACTTTGATCTATTGCTGGTGAGGGTGAAAAACAGTCCTTCTCATTCAGAGGATATACTCCATATTGCAAAAAAGCATTTCCAATCCTATTTTTGGAAATTTATCTTACAGATAAAGCCTACACATGTATAAAATAAGACTCTGACACAATACAGAAAGATTTCTAGGATATCTGGCTACTTAAGAATATATACAGGGGCTGGGGTTGTGGCTCAGTGGTAGAGTGCTTGATTAGAATGTACAGGGCCCTGGGTTCAATCCTTAGCACCACATAAAAATAAACAAAATAAAGATATTTGTCCATCTACAATGAAAAAAAAAAAGAATATATACAGTATGCTGTGAGACATATTAACATCTAACATGACCCCAATACAAATACCATGAGGAAATTTATGTCTAGCTTGTCATTATGTTAATGACAGAAATTTACTTGGTACTACTATTTTTTGGAAATGCTCACAAAATTAAGTCATACCTATTCTCTAAACTCAAAATCTTTGCTCCTGAATTTCACCTAAATTTCTAGCAAGTTCTACCCGAATCCTACTGAAGTTAGTTAAAACACTGAATTTCTATCTTTCAGAGTAACCCCCAAAATAGGAAATACTTGTGATACTTTGGCAGAGTTTCATTGGAGCTGAATCTCAACCACCATAAAAAATAAAGTACTAGCTGGGCGCAGTGGTGCATGCCTGTAATCCCAGTGGCTTGGGAGGAGGACCGAAAGTTCATAGCCAGCCTCAGCAATGGTGAGGCACTAAGCAACTCAGTGAGACCCTGTCTCTAAATATACAAAAAAGGGTTGGGGATGTGGCTCAGTGGTCAAGTGGCCTTGAGATCAATCCCAAGTACAAAAACAAACAAACAAACAAAGTACTAATTACATTTAAGTTATCAATCAAACAGGAGTTATCACTTTTAAAACATGAGCTTTTTCCACAAACCAATCTAAAATACCTCCAAATCTTTCTTCTCTGATTGAATAAATGGGAGTTTCCACCTTTCTTTAAAAGTTGACAAAATATATAAGAGAATCATAAGGAAAAATTTTTAAATCTCTTCACATTCACATTTCAGGTATTACAGAAGCTTTTGAAGACTATTTGGGAACATTAATTTTATTCCTTAAGAAGCTCACATTAAATTCATCCTATAAAAATACTTACAAGGTTACCCAATGCTGTAGTTTAAATGCAAATCTATTTAGCACATAGCAAGGTTTAGACTTAACATTGTATCTACAGAAAACTGAAAATAGGGAAAAAAATGCTCTGGAAAAAAACCAAAATATAAATATACTGTCACTTCCAGCAAATGCGCTTCTTTTAAACTCTGGAAAAAACATTATTGGAATCATTACAAGAAAAAAATAATCAGTCACCATTATGGAAATTTTGATGCTAACTGATGCTGACCAATAATATAAACATTTAAAAAATTTTAATTTTAACTGAGCCTTATAAAAATATATATCTCCAACATTTTAACTTATGTCATATCTTGTTTTGCTATTGCCCAAATACATGTAATTTCCCTGGTGAAACTAGTATCAATATACTGATTTCACAATCAAGGGCACAGCTCAGTGATGGTGCATTTGCTTATTATTAGCATGTGCAAGAACCTAGGTTTGATCCTCAACACACACATACACTAAAACAATATGAATATATGAATGCTGCTTTAATAAGACCAAAAAGGTTGCTACCTTGTCCCAGTCACTCGTTTATAGTTATCTTTGGAGTGGACTGCTAAAATACTGACTCCTGAACCAATGTTCACCACCAGCAATGGATAGGGATCATCCAGGTTAAAAGGCATCTTTTGGCATCGCTCAGGTTCTGAGGCATTAGCAAAATAATAGCACTCTGCTTGTCCATTGAAACTGACAGAATCTATATACAACAAGCCCTTTACAAGGCAGTCAAGTTCATCCAGTTTGTGCAGGTGGAGGTTTCCAATCTGTGAAAAAAATTAACAAAAATTTGAAAAAAAAAAGAACAACATTCAAAATACCCGACTTGACTATACTGTATAATTTTCACATACTCTACAAAATTTCATTACCATTACTCCCATATTTTCATTTATTTTTGTTAGTTTAGTGTGAAAATTCCTCAGATTTTTATCCTTTGACTCTCAGTTGAGAGCAGTATTACCTCTGGGGGCATTTTAGTTTTCAAAAGATGAGGAGAAGGCAGGCACCAAACTGATATTTAGCCAGACACTGCAATGGTAGAACAGTTCTGCAGAAAAACAAAGCATCATCCCATTGCTGCACTTTCTTTAACTGTTTTGCCAGACATTTTTTGTGGTGGCAGTAGGAAAATCTATTTATGATTACCTGGGTCTATGTAAGCACAAAGAGTTTATCCACTTACCTCCCTACCTAATATGTATAAACCCAAAGAATTCTTCACACGGTAAGGAATATTCACTAGGCTCAACTGTGCCTCTGCTGTTTGGAATTTTAATGTCATTCAGCATACTGGAATATGATGTCACCAAAATCAATGCCACTTATGGAGTTGATTCTCCAATAAACATACCATAACCATCTGGCATTTGTATCTTTGGTATTGTTCATGATGAATCTACATATAGATGCAAGCACTAACTACTTCATTTGTCCCCTGGTACGATCATATCACCTAATCTCGTACTGATATGAAAACACCATAATTTTCTGTCTTTATATTATAGTTTGAGTTTGTCTTTGAAATTCATTTAAGGTTAGGAAAGAAAGTACTACAATGTATGGAACTTTTACTTAGAATTTACTTGTCTGTATGGTCTAGAATATCATATTCTTGAGTAATAGATACTTACTGTGCGAAAATCTTCTTCAAACTTGTAAGCACCACCTCCTGTAGCACATAGCACCGTTTGTAATGTTGAGAAGTTTTTGTCTCTTCCCATTTGGATAAAAGTAGGCAGGTCATGGGTTGGAAATCTGATAAAGTGCAAGTTCCCTCTTCGGCCAAAAAGTGTTAAATTCTTCAGTTCAAGGTGTACATCCCGAATGCCAGTGGATCCATATGCTACATTAGAAGTCAAATATTTCCGAATACTTTTTAAGCTCTCAACTTCCTCTTGTTCTTCCTCTGCTGTGATATCAATAGGTTCAAAATATGAGAGCTTTACTAGAGTTCCCCCAATGTCCATTCCAAACCATGGGAAAGCTGTGAATTAAAAAAATAATAAAAATAAATATATACCTTGATACCAAAAAATGCAAATTAGGAAAGAGTAATCAGTCACAAAATTCATTTATCCTGAATCATGCATTCAGTCAAAAATGATGCTACCACATATAACTCACTTTTCAACTTCAGTTTTATTTGTACATTTTCTAAAATCTTATACTTAGAGATGGCCCAGGGCCTTTTCATTCCTGCTCTGATAGGCACTCCTTTTCATTTATTAAATACTCACCACATGCCCCAGGAAACAGGAAGAATCTGAACTAATTTTGTTTCAATAAATAGGTCATCTCACCTCAGGCTGGAACAGCTTTCTGTTTCTAAAAGACTTTAGTATAATAAAATTGGTCCATAAGCATGTCAAGTAACTCATGGGAAATATGCTCTCTTAAAAAGAAACATTTTTCTTTGCTTGTTGAGCGTTACTAAATTTCCCTGGTACATGTGGTTAATAATGCTGAAGGCAAGTCTACTCAGGGACAAGTACATTAAGACAGTATCATTCAGGTCTGGAACTGAGCTCTCACTAACTGGGCTATATAACACTGAAAAGCCATTTATTAACATCTCTGAATATTACTTTCCTTAATTCCCTTCAGTAAATAATTATTAAGTAGCTACACTACCTCTGGTAATAAAAAAGTAAAATGAGTAAGAAAAATTTTCTGCCCTCCAGGAGAGTTTAATCTAGCAGAGGAATATAAATACAAACACACAAGAGAGTCAAAATAAAGTTACATATACAGTACTGGCCAACAGAAGGAATTCTAAATTCTATGCCTCTATTTAAATGTAAAGGAATGAAAACAATAACAACAGTCTATCCAAAGGCAAATAGGAATAATTCAATATGGTTAGGTAATCAGGGTTGGGGATACAGCTCAGTTGGTACAGTGCTTGTTTCGCATGCATAAGGCCCTGGGTTCAATCCCCAGCAAAACACACACACACACACACACAAATATCCTTATGGTTAGGTAATCAGGAACACTGAAGTTCAACAGACAGGGCCCAATCACAAAGGGCATCTCAGGTTAGGCAAAGGAGCTTGAACTTGAATCTGGACAATTCAGGGCACTGTACATGAATTCTCAGCAGGAAAGTAGTACTGTCTGGCTACAAATTAGAAAGCTTATTTAGTGGCAGGGGGTAGCAAAGACAAGAGGTACTTAAGATGTTGCTGGAAAGAGAGGCCAAGTTATCTTACATCTAGTAGAACAAAACCTACCTAGGTATTAATTCATAAATGACTCTGCTTTAGCTGGATCTACACAGCATTTGAGAATCACTGGTTTTGGTCACCTCATCCCTCATGCTATGACATTCAGTTCTATAATGTGATTTTCTCACATTTATCAGTCATGATCCTTATATAGGTACAAGGTAATATTTTGTTTAAAGCACAACTGTTTTAAGTTTCCATAAAAAACTAGAGTTGACTTTACTGAGTATTCATTATATGTCATAAATATGCTAACGTATGTATGGGCTCATTCAACCTTCAACATCCCTATTATAAAGTTGTTCTAGTGTGTTCACATCACGGATGATATACATCACAATCTTGCTTAAAGTCGTCAAACTTATAAAGTGACAGAGACATTGTAATGAAAAAAAATGACAGGATTTCACCCTAGAAAAGTCTATTTCTGCTTTCTCTTAGTATCTCAACCACTATGATAGAGAATCAAAAATAATGTAATAACTAAGATACATGGATCACAAAATGCTTGACAACAAAATATTAAACAGTTTTTATGTGAAAATCGTCAAAGAAAATTCTAAAATTCTATTGTTTCTAAAATACATTTTACTGGGCTGGGGATGTGGCTCAAGCGGTAACGCGTTCGCCTGGCAGGTGCGGGGGTGCTGGGATCGATCCTCAGCACCACATAAAAATAAAAGATGTTGTGTCCATCAAAAACTGAAAAATATTTTAAAAATTCTCTCTTCTCTTCCTCTCTTAAAAAAAATAAAAATACATTTTACTTGCTTGATACATGTGTAACATTAGAAAACAGGAAAAATTATTAACTAGAGGATTTTACACATTTCTGTATTCCAAAATTTATACATTTATTAAAATTAGTCTAATTGCTTTGGCTAGAGTTTCAAGAATGGTGTTGAATAGAAGTGGTGAAAGAGAACATCCTTGTCTTGGTCCAGTTTTTAGAGGAAACGGTTTGAATTTTTCTCCATTTAGAATGATGCTATCCTTGGGTTTAGAATAGAGAGCTTTTACAATGTTGAGGTATGTTGCTACTATCTCTAGTTTTCTAGAGTTTTGAACATGAAGGTGTACTGTCTTTTTTCAAATGCTTTTTCTGCATCTATTGAGATAATCATGATTCTTGTTTTTAAGTCTATTAATATGATGGATTACACTTATTGATTTCTGTATGTTGAACCAACCTGCATCCCTGGGATGAAAACCCTTCCCTTGATCATGGTGCACTATCTTTTTAATGTTTTTGCATGTAGGGATAGGAAGGATAGTATAACAAAATAGACATTATTATTTTATGTATATATGTGACTGCATAACCAATGTGATTCTACAACATGTACATTCAGAAAAATGAGAAATTATATCCCATCTATGTATATCGAAGTACACAAATGCATTACACTATCATGTATAATTAATTAAAACAAATAAATTAGTGATTTTGAATGTGAGAAATAATTCCCATTATCTTCTGGAGAAAAAGCTTGTTTTTGTTTTTTTTTGTTTGAAATCCAAACTGAAAATTGAGAGCTACATTAAAAACAATCAAAAAACGAAAGTCTTTTTGTCTGGGGATATAGCTCAGTTGGTAGAGTGCTTGCCTTGAATGCACAAGGCCCTGGGTTCGAGCCCCACTACCACCACCACACACACAAAAAAGGCTTTTTAAAAATAAAATGACTTTACATGCTTGGGAAGCATGGAGGAGCAAAATTCTAAACAAGCAGTCTTACATCACCTATATAGACTGGTGTAGATAAGCAACATATGCAGAAGAATTTGACTGAATTTCCTCAATTTTGTAAAGTTGCTAGCGATGGAATCTATCTTAAATGAATAACACACTCTGGAAACAAACAGCAGGCATTTACAGAAACCATATAGTAATGTATCCACAGGTATAAAGAAAGGTGGTATCACTAAGTTTTGTTTTCAGTTTATTCATGAAATCTAGAATTTCTACTTTAAGAAAGTCATGTAGGTTGGGTGCTGTGGCAGTGGTCAAATCTATGAAACCATGTTAGAGTTTGTAAACAAGTCAGGATGGCGCCTGGCATTTTGAGAGGGGGAGTGGTTTGTGAGGTGGCGCCAGGGAGCCATTAAGTGTGGTATTGGTTGACTGCTGTATCTAGTTTATGTTAATTAAGATAAGCTGTGTGGAATGTATATACACCCATCCTGTCCTACAATAAACGGCTCCCACTCCTGCTGTATCAATGTACACAAGTTGTTCGTCACCCCCCAGTTACTTTGCTGCAGCTGGACTGCGGCAAAACCAGTGACTTGGGAGGACAAGACAGGAGAATTGCACATTGGATGTCCCCAACTGGGCAACTGAGTGAGACCCTGTCTCAATATTCAAAAATGTTAAAAGAGTAGAGGTGTAGCTCAGAGGTAGAAAAAAAATTAACTTAAGAAGGTACAGATCACTTCCCTGACCCTAGCCCCTACCCTTTGTTCCAATAACCAGTAGTGGGAAACAGTAATACTAACAGAAGGGGAAATCTACATCAATTTGCTGTGAAACACACTCAAAAGAAAACAAGAGCGGATACACTGATACAATAAATCAGAGAAGATTCCTTCAGAATTGACCCAAATCTGTTGAAAATAGATGTAATAAGGACACTTTCCAATAAGCACTGGGTAAAATAACAGAATCTTTCTGAAATCACCTAACAAAATGAATTCTATCCGTGCACAGTGGCCCATGCCTATAATCCCAGTGGCTCAGGAGGTTGAAGCAGGAGGATTGAGAGTTCAAAGCCAGCCTCAATAATTTAGCGAGGTGCTAAGCAACTCAGTGAGACCCTGTCTCTAAATAAAACAAACAAATAAATAAATAAATAAGGCTGGAGGTGTGGCTCAGTGGTCAAGAGCCCTTGAGTTCAATCCCCGGCACACCCCCCACCCTGAAAAAATGAATTCTGATTGACACTTGATTCTATAAAATTTCACTGGAGGGGTGGAAATCACTATTGCCACATAAAAAAACATTTTGTAATAAGATATTTTCTACCTGGTGAGATACCATAAAGCCAAATACCTGTTTTTCAAAATTCAAAGCACATTTAAAACCAATAATTATGGATTTTTTCTCTGTGCCTAATGTCAAACAAAAGTGTCAGATATATTCTGTATACCATACAAATAGAAAAATGTCACCGAGGGTATCAACTACAAAGACCTAGTAGGTTCAAAGTTCATGCCATTTTTATTCTCAGCCAGAAGCGTTAGGCCCCAGGTTTATTAATACCCCAATATGCATGTTTCTGAAAGCAACCCTCCAGCTCAACAGTTCCATGAAGAACTTTTAATTCTTATACAAAACCATGAACTAAAGTTCAAAGGAAACTGTCTAGACAAATATTTCAAGTTTAATAAATACTAGGGAACAAGAAATAATCTACTTTTCTATGGCTATGAATGGGTAGCCAGGTTTCTGACTTATACTGACTACCCACCCCATCATGCATGCAGTGAAGTGTTATAAAGACACATGTACAGAAGATGACTCTAGAGAACTACTGGAAAATGTTCAGGAGAGTGTTATTTCAGTGCATGATGGTGACCACTCTATAATTCTTATGGTGGTAGAGAAGGTGATTAAAAACACTCTCTGAAACAGGCAGCAGAAAGTCTCATTTGTATATGTGATTGGTCCCTCCCTCTGTCTCCCTATTGACAACAATCCTGTTTTTTAAAGTCTGTTTTTTAAGTGTTAATCTGCTTACTCTTTCACAGAGAAAGA